AGCCGGCCGAGGCCGGAGCGCGAGAGCCGGGCTGGAGTGGGGGTTCCGGGCGGCGGCGGCGGCGGCGGGGGAGCAGTGCGGACCCAGGGGCGTCTGCGATTGTTCTCAACCCCCCCTCCCCCATCCCACCCCGTGTGTCTGTTTGTCACTTGCAGCTGAAGATGGAAAGAGCCAGGCGAAGGGGAGGCGGCGGTGGCGGCGGCGGCGGCGGCCGTGGCCGCGGAGGCAAGAATGTGGGGGGCTCTGGCCTAAGCAAGAGTAGACTCTATCCCCAGGCCCAGCACTCTCACTACCCCCACTACTCCGCGTCAGCCACCCCTAATCAGGCTGGGGGCGCATCCGAAATCCAGGAGCTGGCCTCCAAGCGAGTGGACATCCAGAAAAAGAGGTTTTACCTAGACGTGAAGCAAAGCTCCCGGGGCCGCTTCCTAAAGATAGCTGAAGTCTGGATAGGGAGAGGCCGGCAGGACAATATCAGAAAGAGTAAACTGACCCTCTCCCTGTCGGTGGCAGCAGAGCTGAAGGACTGTCTAGGCGATTTCATCGAACACTATGCCCACCTGGGCCTGAAAGGCCACAGGCAAGAGCATGGCCAGAGCAAAGAGCAAGTCTCCAGGAGGCGGCAGAAGCACCCTGCGCCCTCTTCACCAGTGTCGGTGGGGTCCGAAGAGCATCCTCACAGTGTCCTCAAAACAGACTATATAGAGCGGGACAATAGGAAATACTACCTAGACCTGAAGGAGAACCAGCGAGGTCGCTTCCTAAGGATTAGACAGACCATGATGCGGGGCACTGGCATGATAGGTTATTTTGGCCACAGTTTGGGCCAGGAACAGACTATCGTCCTCCCAGCACAAGGAATGATTGAATTTCGTGATGCCTTGGTTCAGCTGATTGAAGACTATGGCGAAGGAGACATCGAAGAGCGAAGATGTGGAGACGACGACGAGCCACTTGAACTCCCAGAGGGGACCTCTTTCAGAGTGGACAATAAAAGGTTCTACTTTGATGTGGGCTCTAATAAATATGGAATTTTCCTGAAGGTAAGTGAGGTGAGGCCACCTTACCGTAATACTATTACTGTTCCATTCAAAGCTTGGACAAGGTTTGGGGAGAATTTTATCAAGTATGAAGAAGAGATGAGGAAAATTTGCAACAGCCATAAAGAAAAGAGAATGGATGGCAGAAGGGCCAGTGGTGAAGAACAAGAATGCCTCGACTAGCAGGAAATTGAACTCCATCAGGCAAAATTTAAAAATCATTAATTGGCTAAAAGTACTGATCCATAATCATTTGAAGAAGTTTTTCCTCTTTTGGGCCCTTTGTTATTAGTAATACCTCTAATAGTTTATACTTCAAGAAGTCTGATTCTCACGTTATGTTATGCATAGATCACTAGAATTCTCATGGGAATTCTAACCTCCCCAGAGCTAAATAGTTTAGCTGCTTCAGCTGCTCCAGACGATTGAAGTATGCAGATCAGCACAAAGTGTGACATTCTGACCTTTTAAACACCCTAACTTAAGATTTACATTGCACTATGACATAATCCTGAAAATGATGCATCTACTTAATATGAAAAGTATGAATTTCTGTTTTAACAAATCCTCCCCCCAAAGAAAGTCCCATTTATACTCCATTAAAAGTTGCCAAGTTGACCTGTAGGACAGTTACCACAGAAATAGAAATTGACCTCAAATATAGTATATTCCTTTATGAAAGTACAAGTAGGAATATATTGTTCATTGGGTAACCGAATATTAACTAGTACCACTCTAAAAGAGCAGATATTGTTAGATAATTAAACCTTTTAAAAATACAGTATCGTATTCCTAACAGTTACTATATATAGTGTTCTATAATTTCAAATTTTGTGGTAACCCTACAGTTTTTGTTGCCGTATCAAAGCCATGGAAGAATTTTAATTGATTACTCTCTGTTTCCTATAGTACATATTTTACTGACTTTCCAAAGTTTTGGGGATTACGTTAATGTCACTGTTGAGAGGGAGGCTTCACCCAGTGGCTTTGCTATGGAGATTTTGATGTTTTAGCCTTTTGTGGTAATTTGCAATCGTTTTTCCTCAAAATCTGTCATGGACTTTCAAAGTGTTGTATTTTACGCCTCCCCTTTCATGTGCTTCATAGGGCTGGCGCACCAGTTGACTGATGTAAAAATACATCTACTAATACATTTTAGTAGCACGTTAGCATTTGCTGCCCCTAAAACCATGTCAAACTTCCAATATAAACCTGATATTGATACAGATACTTTAACTCCAGAAGAAAAAAACCTTTTTTTTTTTCTCAGAAGAAAAAAAACCAAAACATTTAGAATACAAAATTGCAGTCTGGGAAATACAATATTTGGAAACAAGATTGATTATAAACATTTCAAAGGAAAATTCAGGCAATTTCCAAGGTGCTCCTTAACAATTCTTAAAGAGGTTTACTCTATCCAAGACGTATCCATTTGCCTGTATTAAAAATCACTTTTCCAGAAAGGGCCACCTGAGCTTTTAAATACTCAAGCAATTTTTTAAAAAGTGGGTGTAGAATACACCTGTACCAACACCCCTTATTAGCTGACTGAATTTTCATCTGTTGGGATACACTGTCTTCTAAATGAAATTGTGTTTTGTCCTGGGATCAGTTACTGCCCCACAGTCAGTCCATATAGTCATGTTCAAGAGGCAGACACTGATCTCAACTCCCCAGATACAGTTCTCATGGGTGAGGGCTGGCTGCAAGGATTGAGGTCAGAATGTGGCTCTTCTCTGACATACTGTAAGCAATTCAGAACTCATTTGTAACAGTTTTCCCTCCAGAACTTTTTCCCAAACACATTACACTTAGGTCACTAAAGAAACTATGGAATGAATTAAGAAAATGGATTTCATTGGTTTATGTTACTTAAGAACAAGCAGCTAGTAACCCAGGCATATAGGCTGGTGTTGGTTGCAGATTTTATTACACGTTTCTCGAAGTACTATGATGGAATCTCACCCAGTTCATTGTCATTGTGAACCGTCTGGATCACTATGGACCAACTGAAGGTTAGAAGATAATGTTAGTACTAAAGTTCATAGCACATGGTGGGTGTCGAGACTATAAAAGTAGCAAGGATTCTTCCGCAGTCCTAACTGTAAAATAACGTAACTATGTAGGCTTGCTAAAAAGTAGTTTTGGGTATATGAAGGAGTGGTGTGCACTTGAATTACTGTACTACTGATTGTTATTGCTGCCCATCATAGTGCCTATTAATAATAATCAACCTGTCAGATTTCGGCGAACTGGAGCTGTGAATATTCCATTATTCAATTGTTCCTATCACTATTGCTGTGAGTGTATGCTCTTTCTGAAAATCTTATCTTCCTTTTTAAAATATTTATATCCATTAGGACTCACTGATTTCTTTTTGGTTTTTAGTCTGATGAGGTTTGAGTGTGTATATACATACGTGCATATATACACGTGGTACTGTGTCAGACATGAAGATAAATATATTTAATTCACTGTATATACATATTATTAGCTTCATTTCACATTAATTATTTAAGTAAAGAACTAGTTAAATAGCCAGATTTTCTACCTTGTATGTATACTTCAAAGTTCTTGCCACCTCAAAACTACAGATTGGGTAGATACATATATACTGGCAATTGAACACACTCTAGAATCACTAAGACTTTTACCAATCCTTTGTTTGCCTTTACATAGTTAATATATTCATTGAAAAATGGTATGATATGATTTTTTTGATACCTAAAAAATTCCCAAGAGTTCATTAGCCATAATTAAGTGTGATCCAGTTCAAACATCTGGATTTAGGATGTGTATTGCCATGTATCTTATAAAATAAGCTATTTTTATCTGTGCAATATAAATTTTATTTATTGTCATTTGTAACATAAATGGAGCTGCAAGTGTACATGGTATTCTTCAAAATAACAGGATCCTTGCCTTGAAGGCATTAAACTCTTAAGGAAACTGGATGTTAGAAGTAAAAAATGAGCATTGAAGTTAGTAACCAAAATTACTAGTTTACTGTATAATGCTAAAACACTGATGATGTTTGCACATAGTATTTGAGCATAATGTGGACAGACTCAAACTGTAATAAATATAAGCTAATAGTATAAAATCTGGAAACGGGTTCCTCAGTAGTTGGCAGTGTGCTCCTAGCAGTTGAAAGCAGCACTAATGTGCCGCTTATATGCAAAAGATGCAATGTATTATAAAGATATTCAAGTTCTGCCACATTTTATTATTTTCCTTCTTAAAGCCCCAAACTG